GCTGACTCTGAGAAGAATGGGAATCCCAGAACATTTAATTGTGCTAATGCGAAACCTATACTTGGACCAAGAGGCAGTAGTCAGAACAGAGCAGGGTAACACTGCATGGTTCAAAATTGGGAAGGGTGTACGCCAGAGATGTCTCCTGTCTCCATACCTTTTCAAGCTGTATGCAGAGCAGATTATCCGAGAGGCAGGGCTCTATGAGGAGAAGTGTGGCTTTAGGATTGGTGAACGATCTATCAACAATCTGTGTTATGCAGATGACACAACCCTGCTTGCTGAAACTGAGGAGGACCTCATGCACTTACTGCAGAGGGTCAAGGACTGCAGCCTTCAATATGGCCTGAGGTTCAATGTCCAGAAAACAAAAATTCTCACTACTGGACCAATTGGTAGCATCAGGATGGATGGTGAAGAGATTGAGATTGTTCAGAACTTCAGTTTGCTTGGCTCCACGGTCAACACTCTTGGCACCAGTAGCCAGGAAATCAAAAAACGTATTGCAATGGGGAAAGTCTGTGGTTGGGGACCTCTCTAAAGTACTCAAGAGCAATGGTGTCTTTCTGGAAATTAAGGTGCGCCTGATACAGGACATGGTTTTTGCAATCACTTGTTATGCATCAGAGAGTTGGACAATGACTAGGGAGGATAGAAGGAGAATTGACGCCTTTGAGCTGTGGTGCTGGAGAAGAGTACTGATTATATCATGGACTGCCAAGAAAACAAATAGATTCATCTGAGAGAGAGTTAAACCAGGCTGCTCCTTGGAGGCAAGGATTCTGGGGCTTCGCCTGACATACTTTGGACATGTTGTAAGGAGAGACAGGTCTTGGTAGAGGGACATCATGCTGGGCAGAGTGGAGGGACAGCGCAGGAGGGGAAGACCCTCTATGAGGTGGATTCATTCAGTGACTGGGGTAATCGGGATGGATGTGTCAGAGGCAGTGAGATTGGCACAGGATAGAGCAGGGTTTAGGGCTGTTGTACATAGTGTCGCTATGAGTCGCAAGCGACTCGACGGCACATAACAACAACAACAACAACATCTATCATCAAGTTGCTTATCAGTCCAGTGGTGAGAGGTTTTGTCTTCTTAACAATGAGATGCAATCCATATTGAGGGATATAGTCTTTGATCTTCTACAGTGTTTCAAGTCCTCCTCACTTTCAGCGAGTAAAAACAGTTTTAAAAATTTTTACTTTTAATAGGACTTAACATTTTAAAAACCACAGGTCATTTCTCAAACCTTATGAAAAATATACTGTTCATTTGAACTTGAAACATGTTTTAAATAGTCTGTATTGAAAGCCATAGATTGGGAAATCATTACTGCCAAGTGATGTGGTGAAAACCTGACCTTGGAAATACATAACAGAGTTGATTTTTATTCTTTTTAATTGGAGCAGTAACCCCGTCCTGATCCTGTGGGCTTCCTCCCTCAGGTTAATCCCTTAGCTTTTCCCAAGTGCCTCTGTCTTTGTGGAGAGGAGAAGGGTTGTTCTCACACTAGATCCCATCAAGCTAAAGAAGGCGAGATTGGAGTGAGAAGACTGCGAGATCAAGAGTATTGGTTTCCAGATCCCTCCCCCTTCCCACTGTTCACTGTTTCTCATCTACTAACGTGAGATTTTACAGAAATTAGACTCCGCTGCTTAAAAATTTTTAAAAATAGAAAATTTGAAAACTATTGCCCTGAGTTGGGATTGTGCTAAGGTTCTGACACAACAGATCAAGGATGAGTCCTTAGTATCTGTTTCCTTTTATGACCGGTTGGAATACTGAGTGACATTTTCTGCTTCAAGTTTATTGAAACGTTGTTGTCATATATTTAGTGTGTGCTGCCATCTGGTGGGAATTTGTATAACTTTGTAGAGCTGGGGAAAAAAACCTTCTCACTCCACTAAATGCCAGAATCAAATGATTTGGTTTGGGCACACAGGTCCCTTTTGACTTGATTCCACCTAACAATAATAAGGTGAAGCCAGGCTGCTCCTTGGAGACAAGGATTTTGAAGCTCTGTCTGACATACTTTGGGCATATTGCAAGGAGGGACTGGTCCTAAGAGAGGGGCGTCATGATTGGGACAGTGGAGGGACAGCACAAGAGAGGAAGATCCTGAATGAGATGGATTGGCTCAGTGACTGGATTAATGGGGTAGGTGTGTTGGAGACAATGAAATTGGCTCAGGATAGAGCAGGGTTAAGAGCGGTTGCACATAAGTTCGCTATGACTTGCAAACGATTCAACGGCATATGACAACAACAATTTTATCAAGGAAAAATAAAACACTGACACCTTCACACTTTTCTCCATCTATCATGATGTTGCCTATTGGTCCAATGGTAAATATTTTTGTTTTCTTAATATTGAGCTATAACCCATATTGAAGGTTGAAGACTTTGATTTTCTGTAACCCTCTTTACTTTCTGGAAGAAACATTGTGCCACCTGCATAACACAGGTAGTTCACGAGTCTCCCTCTAATCCTGGTGCCACATTCATCTTCACTTAGTTCAGTTTCTCAAATTATTTGCTAATCATATAGAGTATATAGTTATGGGGAAAGGATACAGCCCTGAAACAGTTTTCGTGATTTTGAACTGTGAAATTTACTCTTGTTCTATTTGGGAAACTGCTTCTCTGTCTATAGGTTTCATATGAGCACAACTAAGTCTTCTGGGATTCCCAGTCCTCTCAAAGCTAGCCACACTTTATTATGGCCCACACAGTCAAATACCTTCACAAAATCAATAAAATACAAGTACATACCTTTCCGGTATTATCTGCTTTCAACCAAGATCCATATGACATCAGCATTGATATCACTCTTTCTACTATCTCTCTCTTTTTTTAAGTATTTTAATTTATTTATTTTTCATTTCAATGAACATCTACAGAGATTTTGGAATTCCATTCATTCATTGTTGCACCCTTCTCCCCGCCCACCCCACC